TATGGATTACTGCTCCTGGATATTAGTGCTTTGTTTGCAGAAGCCTCTCTCATTCTTCAGGAAGTCCAGGTTTCCCTGCTACCAAATCCCATTGTGTCACATTGAAGCCTTTTTCCAAACCTTACTTACAGCACAGTCTTTTTATCGCTTTCTGATTTCTTTTCATATTCTTTCTTGACTATGATCTTCCTGTGTAAAAAAAAAAAAAAAAAAAAAAAAGGGACAATTGGAAGAAAGAGAGCTCGTTTTCTGTTTTCTAGGATTTTTAAATGACCAAAGTATTAAATACCTCTGTCTTCCATAATTGCTAAACCCCTCCATATGTGTGTGTAACCAGCCTCTGTAATCACAGATGGACTCTCTTCTCTGCCTCTCTTACTTATTTTTGGTTCTGTATAGCATAACTTTGACTGAGTGATTATCTTATTACTGGTTACTGCTTTAAAGCAGAAATACCTAGTTGATAGTAAGCAACTGAAAGCTAGATTTAAAGATCAAAAAAACCATTTTTAGAAACTGGAATCACTTTGATGAAGCTTCAGGGAAAACTGATTTATTTGAAGACTTATTTGTCACACTTTGAGACTTAAGTGATCTGTGCAACCCTGTTACATACTCAAGTTTGTTTGCTTCCAGCTTTTGTACTACTCTTTCTCAGTTGATGATGATCTGAGGTCATCAAGGAGGATGTCAGAATAGGGAGATAGTACTGAGAACACAGATGTTTTTTAAGGATGTTTCATCAGAGCTTTTCACAAGATTTTGTAGAATTTTGAAGTGTCTTCATATTGTGAAAATATTCTTGCAAGTGTGCTGTTCTGATGCTTTTGTGTCCTTTTATTTTCAATTTTCTAAAGACACACTTTTGGAACATTTAACCTGTTGGTTTTGAAGCAGATACTGGCACTGACTTTACACAAAAAGTCATAATTAAATAATTGAAGCACTTACAGTAATCTCTTCTTTGTGTGTCTGATAAAGAGGTGATACAGCTTGCTTTTGTTTGTAAAACCAAGAAACAATGGTTAACTGGCAATTTTTTTGTTCTATAAGTCGGAACCTCCTTTTAACTAGGATACACTTTTGGAAAACTAAATTCTGATGATGGTAAAAATAATGATCAGGCTTTGTATTTAAGGCCTTTATGATTTGAATGACTTAAAAGAGCTGACTTTTGCTAGGTGCTCTTAGAAATGTATTTTTCAGTCCAGGTTTTCTGAAATTTTTGTGTACATTGACTGTACTTTTGTAGCCAAGGATTGTTCTGTGTCTTCACATTTCTGCATAAAGAGCCACGGACTTTCGCAGCAGATACATAAAATATAATTAGATCAGAAAGCTAAAATTGCTTATGATGCATACAGACTCCTGAGAGGAACATTAAAGAGCACTCATACACTTATGAAGTCGCTTTTGAAATACAGAAAGCATTTTAACTTCCTTCTGGTAATTTATAAATGGCACTTCTTATCTTTACAAAAAGGTGGTTTCAAGAGATTTGTAAATGTTTTGAAGAGATTTCTCCTCTTTGCAAGTATATGTTAGGCAGTTACAGATGTTTGTGTATTTATTTGTGGGGGGGTTTTTTTACCCTTCGTTGTTCAGCCTGTTTTCTTGACACAAGTCCATATTATAAACTGCAGTGAGCCTACGTGGCACTCTTGACAAAAAAAATTTTTACGTGAGTGAGTTTGAAATGTACATCTGAAAAATAAATGCTTTAATGCAGAGTTAGAGTGGAGAGTGGATATTTCAGTGTGGTGCCTACCTTGTTGGCGTAGTGTGAGTGGTATTACTGGTCTCTCTGTGTGTGTTTGTTATTATCTGCTAAGCATCTGATCAGAAAGTTAGATGTGTCTGGATCTGGAGATACACATGTATGCACACACACACAAGTGGTATATAGTAATAATGAAGATTAGATGGAGTTTTGGTGGTGGTGGATTTTTCTTCTTCTTTTTGTATTCTCCTACCTCCCTAATTTTTTGAAATGTGAAACCAATTGCTTCCATGTCACCGAACACTTTTATTTAAACACTCTATTACTCTAGCAATGCCTGAAGGAACAGTTTGGAACTTAGTGGAAATAAAGTATTAAGCTAACTAGAGTTTTATATTGGGAAATGGTAGGGCATTGTGATGTAGGTGCACAATCTATCTTTTTTTTTTTTAATGGAAAACTTTAGAAAATTGAGTGGGAGGAGGGCATGAACTGGGGAGGAACAGCTAGAGAAGCTGCCATAGAAAGAGGATGGGGGAAGGTGGATGGTCAGTGGTTAATGCCCTCAGTTGTTTTAATATTCAAATTGTCAAAGCAATAAAACAACTCGAATGAAATTCTTCAGAGAACACATTACTACTCTTCTAAAAGGAAAACAAAACTCACTTTATACTAACATCATATCTTGAGTATTCAGAACGTAATTTTGTCACTTCTGCTTTGTTAGTGTCTGGAAGGAGAAGTAAGTTTTAGCAATAGAACTTTAAATAATAATAATAGAGAGCTTCTTGAATTGTTTTCAAGATCTGCTCTGAATAGACCTGTGTTGTGCTCCCTTGTTCTTGAATATGTGGTGCATTGTAGAGAATTAAAAAAAAATCTATAGGATTAAAAGCATGGCTAATGGACACGGGAATGTGTTCTCAGTAAAGTCTCCTCTATTTAAAAAAAAAAATAATTAAAAATCAACTGGAAACTTATCTGTGCGTAGGAACTTATATAATGTGTAATATCTGGAAAAGATTTGCAGTAGGCTCATTTTCTCTCTTAATTCTTGCTTCAGCAGTATGTTGAAATAGTGGTGGGGAAAACCTTGTGTAAAGGGAAATCTCATTTATGAGAGATAATTATACTTTCTGACACTTCTGCAGAAAGCTCGTGTGTTGTCTTTTGCAATCATCAAACAAATGGATCAGAAACTGAAGTTTTTTGTAAAAATAGCTGTGGCTGTTTTGTAGAACATCATAGTTAAGGAATATTTACATAAGAGGCAACCATTTTTAATTGGTTCAAAAGAGGAGTGCAATGTGGCTCAAAACACTACCTGTGAGAATGCTCTGTGCTAGAGATCATAACATGCTTGCATTCATTTTCTCTTGCAAAACCTACAAAGTTTTCCAGCATGATTGGAAGTACAGTATAACTACACTAGGGAAGCTTGTTAAAGCTGTAAGAGGTAACTAGTAGCAAAGTACTTACCACCTGCTAAGAATTAAAGATGCTGTGCTGGAGTTACAGACCAAAAGCTTGCCAGCTATCAAGGGAGGTGTGAAAGGAAGCTGGCATGGCTGAACATCAGGCAAAAATAGTTATTAGAAAGCCCAAGTAGTATCCAAATGAGGAAAATTGTAAAGATTATAATACCTGGCAAGTAAAATATAAAAGCATAAGTTAGAACAAAAGAATTTTAAAGCCTTTAGTAATAACTGCTTTGCAGTACATTACTAGTAGCAAACCTACCACAAGCCATAGGGCTGTGAGATGATCCCTTTAGAAAAGAAAAGGTGATAGCAGAAAAACTTTGTTTTGCGTCTGTGTTCATTGTTGAAAATCTTGGAAAGGGTACCCTGCCAAGAACCTTTTATAGGTAACTTATCAGAGGGACACTCTCAAGTCAGCATTTGTTAAGAGTTAGAGACCGAACTGACAACAGGAAAGCAAGTTGTGGAACCAGGGAGCATTCTTCCAATAACTCTCCAAAGGGTGAGGGGTGAAGTAATTTTAACTAAGTGATAGGCAATGACTCCTTTGGCTAGATGCATTTAGGTCTTTGGATGAAAATGCAATGTGGGGCCAATATTAAAAGGACGTTCATTCAGGATGTTGGCTGTGCTGATTAGATACTACAGTAACATACAGAATTTGCATTGTTGGAAGTTCAGCAGAGCTTTGTGAAAAGAAGTTGTGAGTCAGTCTTTTAGGAGCTCGCTGAAGGAGATAGCAAGAATACTGGAACAGGCTGCCCAGAGAGGTTGTGGAGCTTCCTTTGGAGACATCCAGCACCTGCCTGGAGGTGTTCCTGTGTGGCCTGCCCTAGGTGATCCTGCTTTGGCAAGAGGATTGGACTAGATGATCTTTCAAGGTCCCTTCCAACCCTTGACATTCTGTGAATTTGCTACGGTTGGTAGGAATTCCAGAAGTCTTTGGTAGCCTTCTGCATGAGAAGGGTACGTCCTCATATGGATAATTAGTTATAGACATAGAGACAAGAAATGAATTAGACAGGATGCTTTTCAGAGATAAGTAGTGACTATTACAAAAATACTCAGGGTAGAAGAACTGAGACCCACCTTTGAATAATTGCAGATAAGTCTGGAGTGGATGAGGAGGTGGCAATTAAGCTGAAGTGAGGCACATGAAACCTGTAACTCCTTGTAGGAAGGACACTAGTTTGGAATTAAAATAGATAGGTCTGTGGGAACACCAGTTCAGGCCCAGAAAGATTAATTCTAAAAAGTGTTAGGATAGCAACAGAGAATAAAATGAAATTGGCTGTTGCCTGCATCCATGGTGCATTTGCATTTGACTGATGTATTGGCACCGGCTTGGGAGCACCCTGGGAAGAGCAGTGCTTACTTCTGTGTACATCTAGGTCACTGATGTGTTTGTCTTAATGTAGGTTACAAAAAGGGTTTGTTTGTTGTTTTTTTTTTTTTCTTTTTTTCTTTTTGTTTCCCCCCCCACCCCCCGGCTATGTGAACGTCTTCTGAATGACATTAGCTTCAAAAATATCTCAAATTCTTTGTTGTTCAGAGAAACATTGTGATGCATTTTGTGTGATTAGGTGTGGTACCGGGAAGGGCATGAAGTCTGTTACTGCCACACCGAAGGACGTATCTGTTTCAAAGCCTCTGTAAAGTGAAACAGGAGCAATGGCTGTTAAACTGGGGCACTTGAATCTTCTTCATTCCTCGGGAGTGCAGGGCCTCATGAGTGCTGGCATTTGTGCAGGTGAAGACTGCTGGGGAACTGAAATTTGCTGTTGGTGTTCAGACCAGTAATGGAGCTGCATGAGCAGCCAGTATCCCCCTGCAGTTTGGTAGGCTGAACGGGGGAGAGGACTCTGGCGGCCAAAGACAACCTTTGAGGCTGTAATCTTTACAATAGTTTGAAAAGATCGATGTCTGCAGCTGTGGTTTAGTCACCTCAGTAACAGTTGCAGTCCCTTTCTTCCCTCCCTTTTACCTTGTGTTGGTACTGGAGCTCTTCTTCCCTCCCAGGGTCTTTAGAGAGCTATACTAAAGACTAACCTTTCTGAAAATACAAAATAAACTAAATTATTTAGCTTCCTCAACAGCCTGTTTTTAGGACAAACAGATGCCAAAACAAGAGAGAGGAGCGCATGAAGCGCGGAGGAGGGGAAAGAAAAGTTGGTACTTAGGACTGCAGTGACAGAAAGCTGTTCTCTTTGAGACGCGTTGCTTGAGAATATTTTGTCTGCACTCTTATAGACATGAGATACAGAGGCCTGCTCTGGGTAACAAGTTATAATATACAGACCTGTCTAAAGATGCATTTCTAGGTTTAAAACTTTTTTTAAAAAAAAGTTGTTATTAATTCTCTTCAAGTAAACCTAACAATAAATGTAAATTAGAATACTTAAAGATTCAAGTTTTAAATATTTCCAGTAATATAGAGTACCTAGTTTCTTTTTACAGAATATACTTTTTTTTCTCAAGTTTGTGGTGTCCTAGTTAGTAAATTCTACTGTCCTCAAAATTTTGAAAACCGGTGTGATACTTGAATTCCTTGGTATTTATTAGTTACAAATATATTATGAAAATACGGAAAAATTCTGAACCTTGTAGCTGTTAACCAGAACTCAGATTTGTATTTCTGTTTCTTTGCAGGATCTGGAGTTTCATGGAGTAATGAGATTCTACTTTCAAGACAAAGCAGCTGGAAATTTTGTAACAAAATGTATACGTGTCTCTAGTACTGCCACAACTCAAGATGTGATAGAAACTCTTGCAGAGAAGTTTCGACCAGACATGCGAATGTTGTCATCCCCTAAATACTCGCTTTATGAGGTGCATGTCAGCGGAGGTTGGTATTTATTCATGAAGTCTTTCCTGCATCCACACCACCTTCCTATCCTCCCCCAGCCTAAATATATTTTAGATTTGCCCCCGGTTTCTGAACCACGTTAAAACTTGGGGTTTTTATTTCTAAGTACGTTTCTACTAATTGTTACATGGAGGAGTGGTATTTCAAAATAGAAGTCTGCATATTGGGCTTGCAGTTCATCCAAGTCTTGATTATGATCTGTTAAATGCCGTGCTTGACATCCTGTTTATTTGTTGACATTTGAGAGAGCTGCTATTTTTAGACTAGCAGATAGAGACTAAATTTATAATGGGAGAACAGAAGTGTTAAATTGGAGCACTTCAGAATACATCCTCAGTTCTTTTGATGGTGTGGGCCTTTGATAGGTATCCTTTACTGCTAAATTGGGGGAAGTTCAACGTAGTATTGTTTGGGACCCTTGTGTTTCTTAAACGGAGCCTTTCATATTACCTGTGAAGAACTTGAATATCTAAGTAGCCTTTTGATGCTGCTAGGTTTGTGTCTCTCCACTCCAATAGACAGTTTTGCATTAGAAAGTGGTAGTGTGTGCAGTGGTGGGGGATAGGAATAGGAGAAACTAGCTTTTGTTGTGCTTTATCTTCTTTGTAGTTTGGAAGCCTACAGAAGTGATTTAACTACCTTAAATTTGGCTTTTGAAAGACCAAAAATAATGTAATTTGAGACAGAATGCAAATTTATTGGAATATGTGTAATTTTTCATGGTCTGGGAATGATGTCTTGATGTGAATTCTAGGGGATTAGGGAAAAGTGCATGTGTCATTACTAATTTAAGCAATGAATATAGTCTCTGCTTATTTCTGCTGTAGTTTTCTTTAAAAATCTGTTAGTGCTGTACCTGTAGTCAAAATGAAATGGTTTCCTTTGGAGAGTAGGTTCCTGATGTTTAAAACATGGCTCATAAGAGTCACATCATTCATGAATAAAATGTAACTGGAAAGACATCATTGTTTTGCTGTGCATATTTGCTTTCTCCTAGAAGGGAAATCAAATGGCAAAACTTGTTTAACTTTAATTGCTCAGATTTTTTTTGTCATGTACTTAAAATGGATATAATACACTAAATGAAATTTTATCTAGTATATGTGCATAATGGTGGATTTTTTTTAAACTTATTTCATAATCCATTTTATTTTTTGTGCAGTCTCTCCAGAATAGTAGTAGTTGACCCACAGTCAGACTGGTTAAATGTAGAACAAGGAAAAGAGTATTTGGAAGTCTCAGGGTTGTAAAGTTTGAAACATTACAACTGTTGGTGTAATTTCTCTTCCTCAGTGATAGCCTTGTGCTCTCATACTTCGTTCTAACAAAGAAAGTATAAAAGATTACTTTGTGTGGACCCATAGTTTATGTAGATAGAGGGAATACACTGAGGCTGATTCCTGGGAAGGAGACACGTGTTTCTACCTTCCCAGGCTTTCTCTTCCTACACTTAACAGGAAAGCATCAAGGGATGTGTACTGTTTCAGCAAACTTTTTTTTTAAGAGCATAACTTGTTTCTAGATACCTTTGCTCTTGAGATGCCAAGTAACTGTTACTGCTTTCAATTTTTTTGAAGAAGAAAGAAGATTAGATGGAGATGAGAAGCCTCTTGTTGTACAATTAAACTGGAACAAGGATGATCGAGAGGGAAGATTTGTTCTCAAGAATGAAAATGATATGCTTCCTCCAAAGGTGAGTCTTTAAGGAGACAGAACCTTTAAAAGGGGATGCCAGAGGGAGCTGAGTAACTAAAAATTGTTACCTCTTTGGGTAACATTCTGTTCTTTAACAAAACTGATGGGAGACTGTTTCCTTTTGGAGGGAGGTGTTTTAGTTTTTTTCTTCCTTTCAGATGTAAAGCGAGGCACATGCAAATATCAGCCATACAGAAGTGATTTTTTTTGTACTAGTTACTTAAAAATTAAATTAGATCAGACTTTGGCTCCTGATTAGTTATGATTAGATATAGTTTATAGCTAACTTGGATGCATATAGCTATGGAAAACATGTTGTTCAGTGTAGGCTATCTTCAGACAAGTTTTTCGTCTTGAACTAAACTAAATCTCTTTTGCTTTTGGAATCAGAGCTTGTTAAAAGTCTTTTGGGTATAGATACGTGAGGTGTTCTTACATTATGCTTTTGACTGCAGAATACATCCATGAAGAGAGATGAAGAGAGAAAATTAATGTTGTCTTGCACTACATCTACCAGACTTGCCATTTCTATTCATTGAATTAAGTAATCTTCAGTCTTCCTTCTCTGTCTTCCTGACAGAAGCAAAAAGCCCCTGCATTTTCTTTCTATCATCTCTTATTTTTTATACAGAAGGAAAATGAGCCTGGGATTACAGATATCTTGTGTATGCAAGGAGCAGGAATTGGAGAACACTGGAAGTACAACTCCAAAAAATACACCATAGGGGAAATGTCCTATATAATGTTTTACCTTCCACAATTTAGTCTTATCTGGTGCTCCACCACAGTTGTCTTGAAAACAGATTAAGTGTAGTGTGGTTTTGTGAAACGCTTTTACTGGGAGGCAGAAAAATAGTTTTGCAGCCTTTGGTTAATCGTTGAGGTCAAGTAGATAGTAGGCATTATTTAGCTAAAATTCTGCTGTTCCTTTACTTTTTTTGAGTAAAAGGTGCTTAATCAGTTCATATCTACTTTGGGATATGAAATTATTTTTACATTCTATGTTATTCCAGAGAGCACTAGTCCCATCCCTGTGTAATGGAGCATTGTTGCTTAGAGTATTGGTTTCTTCTGTTAGTGTTACTATCTATTAGTCAGATTTATGTGAAAAGTTAAAACAAATGCAAACTTTTCATTGGACTAAGAACGATGGAAATTGTTTTAAACTCATTTGTTTCAGAAGGCTCAGAGTAATGGCCCTGAAAAGCAAGAAAAAGAGGGAGTAATTCAGAATTTCAAGCGAACTCTCTCAAAAAAAGAAAAGAAAGAAAAAAAGAGACGTGAAAAAGAGGCATTGCGACAAGCATCAGATAAAGATGATAGAGTTCTTCATGGGGATGACATGTAAGTGTTTTAAACTGTGACCAGTTCATGTAACCTACATCTTATTTTAAAGGGTTTCCCCTCTCTATCAAATAAGCTGTTGTTTCTTGCAAAAGTAAGTAGCTGATATGGATAGAATGAATCATAAACCAAAATAAGAGGTGGCACTTTCTGTGGTTTATAGTGCACATTTTGCCACAAGGTTTCTGAACCATGAAATAACCTTTTTTCCACATATTTTGTCCTTGTACAGAAACTGACTTGTACTTGGTGACGTATACTTGCCCCACTATTGCTTCCTAAGCATTTACTCTAGAGTGGGTTTACTCCTTTACCTATGTTTGATTGTTCTGTATTTTGCCAGAGAAATTAGTATGTGTAGGTGTTTGCATTTGACTTAACCACCTGACTATAGGTTTATTTTTCTCTGAGATGTATTTTGGTAGCCAGTCTTCTAGGTTCTTCAACTCTTGCTCCCAAACCTGCTGCGCCTGATTCATTGTGACGGGGCGGGACATACATTAGTCATTGTGCAGAAAACTAGAGCAGAAGAATCAGGCATGAATCAGTGTATGTAGAACTAGGAAGCTGAGAAAGGTCTACGTTAAATTAAACTTTATTTCTCTACTAGATTCTCTAGGTTTCTTATGTAATACATGGCAGGGGGGAATAATTAATGGTGAATTTTTAACATACCCAGAAAGAAAATGATGAAAACTTATCAATTGATAACAGATTCTCAGAGATTAAAGAAATGAGTTAGCTGGCTGAACTATAATAGAGGATGTAGCAGCTCAGCTTGATTTTTTTTCTTATGTGTAGTACTTCTCTGCATGGATATGTTTGCAATATTCTTCATATGTTTGCATGATCTTTCCAGTATTCTATGCCATTGTTTAGCTTGATCTTAGTTTCTTTAAAATTAAAATAGGGTTGTATGTAAGTGCATGTAGTGATTTGACGGTGGCCGGTGGCCATGTGCCCACACAGCTGCTCTGTCACCCCGCCTTCTCTGCTAGACAAGGGGAGAAAATATACTGAAGGGACCATAGTTTGAGATAAGGACAGGGAGATCACCTGCATCTACCGTCCTGGGCAAAACAGACTTAATTTGGGGAAATTAGTTAAATTTATTCAAGAACAAATCAGAGTAGTGAGAGATAAAAACAAATCTTAAAAAAACCCGCCAAACCCACCTTCTCCCCATCCCTCCCTTCCTCCTGGCAAAGCATCAATCCCAGTTTATCCACCTCCTCCTCCTGAGTGGCACAGGGGGACAGGGAGTGGGACTGCAGTCAGTTCATCTAATGTTGTTTCCACCGCTGCTTCTTCCTCTGGGGGAGGACTCCTCACACTTGCTCTAGGACACTGTGGGGTCGCTCTCATGGGAGACAATCTTCACACCCCTTTCTACAATGTGAGTCCTCTCACGAGAGGCAGTCCACCCCAACATGAGTCTGAGGTGCAGTCCTTCAGGGGGAAACTGCTCCAGTGTGAGCCCCCTGCAGCATCACAAAAGTCCCACCAGCCAACCTGCTCCAGTGTGGGCATTCCTCTCTCCGCTGGCTACAGGCTCTGGCAGCAACTTGCTCCAGCACAGGCTTCCCACAGCCCCCTTCAGGCATTCACCTGCTCTGGTGTGGGGTCCTCCACAGGCTACCGGTGGACATCTACACCCCACCCATGGGCTGCAGGGGGACAGCCTGCCTCACCGTGGTCTTCACCACGACCCAAGGGACTCTCTGCTCTGCTGCCTGGAGCACATCCCCCCACGTTCTTTGCTGACCTTGGTGTCTTCACATATTCTGACTGCTCTGTCTCTTTGCTAATTGTTGTGTGACGCAGTTCTTTTTTAACCTGTTTCTTAAATATGTGTTCCCAGAGGTGTTCCTATCCTGTCACCACTGACAGGCTCAGCCTTGGCCAGCAGCGGGTCCCTCTTTGGAGCCGTCTGGCATTGGCTCTGTCAGACTCAGGGGAAGCTTCTAGCAGCTTCTTGCAGAAGCCACCCCTACAGCCCCCCTGCCACTGAAATCCAGCCAGGCAAACCCAATACAGTGCATTAGCAAAAGAAAAAGCACGACCTGCAAGCCCGTGCTAATTCTGTTTCCACGTGATTTGCAATATTGTAAATCAAAATAAAGTTAGGGGTATAATGTAAGGTTTCTTCAATGCCATTTTTTTTTCCTAAGAGATAGAAGACTTCTTTTTTTTCTTTGAAAATAGCAACTATCAATACTTAAAATTTTTGTCTATTTCAGTACATGAATAGGGTTAGTCCTAACAAAAGCGAAGTTCATACAGAAACCATCTTATTGTAACTTAATTGATCTTCTATGTGTATAGATTCTACTTACCTTTTATGCTTTATGAAGTAGTGAGGATATATGACTTTTAAGCAATTAATAACAGTTTTTTCTTTAAATTAACTTGCCAGTGAGAATTCTCGCCTTGCAGCTGAGGTTTACAAAGATATGCCCGAGACCAGCTTCACTCGCACAATATCCAATCCCGAGGTGGTTATGAAGCGGCGGCGACAACAAAAACTAGAGAAGAGAATGCAGGAATTTCGTAGTTCTGATGGCAGACCCGACTCAGGTACTCTCAATTTCTTCTAGTTAAGTTGTAAGAAGTAAACTTTTCACTGAGAGAGTGTTTTTAAGGCCAGCAACTCCTGTAAATGGGACTGAACTTGTACTTTCTCCAACATTTCTGTACTTCATGGCTAATTTATAGTGTAGCTGAATAAAGGGTTCCACAGGAGCGGGTTGTGTGACAAGTGCAAGTCAAAGATTTCAGTGATGGACAAATCGATGGGAGAGAATATGCTCATTGATCTTCCTAACAGTTCTAAACTGGGAAAGAAGGAGAGACAGGATTAGACCTATTAAACTGACAAACTGAGGAAGTCCTCTGAAATAAATGCTGTTCATTTTACTAAGAACAAGCTGAATGTAAAAATGCAATCAGTAGCACAAATACAGAATGGCAAGGAGTGATTGTTCAGGTCTGCACAAAGGGTTCTGGTAGATTTTTCTGAATATGGGTGATCAAGTATTTCACATGCTTGTGTGTGTGGATACAACAGTGGTTGTATAAATGTCAGTGTTAAATGAACAAAGGAAGCAATGTCAGTACTAGTAAGACCCCAAATGATGTATTCTGTCCGTGAAAAAGTAGTGAAGAAGGAGATAGAAGTGCCAAAAACATCACCTGGGGGAAATGTTAAATGGGCTTTCTAAAGAGAAATGAGATTCTTGAAGGTCAGCACAAACTTGCTCTCAGGATGGAAAAGGTTACTTCTTCATCCAGGCATCACCACTGTTTCATTTTACCTTCAGGTGGTATTCAGAGTGGTGAAGTACTGGGGAAAAGACTTGCTCAGAGAAATTAAGAGAGCATTACTGGAGGCTTTTACCAGTGTCAGAAACAAATTTATTTCAGGAATGTTATGTAATTTTTCTTGTATTAGTGTATTGACTAAATGATTTCTGAAGGGGTTCATTCTTATATTGTTAGAAGATGCCTGCATGTCTATGTTTTTATTCTCTGGCAGCATTGTTTATTATTGTTTTCAAGGTGGTACGCTGAGAATTTATGCAGACAGTTTAAAACCAAATATACCGTACAAGACAATCTTGCTGTCCACTACAGATACTGCAGACTTTGCAGTTGTTGAAGCACTGGAAAAATACGGCCTGGAAAAGGAAAATCCCAAGGATTATTGTATTGCTCGTGTAAGTGAAGTTGCTAAGTCACGATCCTCTCATGCTCGTGTTTGATCCGTTCCTTGCAGTAGCTTTAAAACTAAATGGAAAGACTCTGATAGTTCTGGGACTAACTATTTTATCAGTATTATTAATATTATTTTAATTATTACTATTTTTTTTAAATCTAACAGCCTTGGGAATTCTGAACTGATTTGTCAGGTTTTCTGGTTTTAAAACCTAGGTCTTCCAATCTTAATAAACAATTACTTGCTGTGTAGGTAAACAATAATAATGAAAGGAACGTATTTCTGAACTTGGCACTGTGATTTTAAACCACTAAGTGTGCTTATGATTCACATATCTATAAACTAATTGTTTTTCCTTTGGATATGTAAATTTATCTGTTCGTGCACAAAACTATTTCCCTGAACTGAGACCATCTGCTTGGGGGCAAAAGTGCTGAAAAAAACCTGTTATAAAAGGTATATGTTATATGCTGTTGCCTTATGTCTGTCTGTCGTTACACACTGGAAAAAGACTAAACAATTAAGTGAAACTCATGCTTATTTTCAGAATTTAATTATTTTAGGCGTTCTAAATGAATTGTGTAGAATTGCTGTTTCTCAGAGGTACAGATTTATCAGAAACTCCCAAGGGCAGTACTCATTGAGGGTTACAAAATTGTGCCATTTTAATCTTCTGAAGAAGAATAGTGAAAGTTCAAAACATTTGATCCTTGTTTCGGTGGTTTTTTCAATAACATTTCTGGCTATTACTTGCCTAATAAACTTGGATTTATTGCTCCTTAAAATGATGAAAGAAAGGGAAAAATGTTTGTATCTCGTCCTATTGTGCTGTCTTCCCCTGCTACTTCTCTGGTGCTTAAAGTGCCACTGGCAAACAGTAAGGAAGCTTTTATTGTTTGGTATTCCTCACACTTTCTGGCTGCTCTAAAGGATGTGACTATATCTCTGGTCTTAAAATTGCTTTCTGATTTGTGTGTTATGATGTCTTTGAGTAACCTTAGTGTCTCCTTTCTGTGCTTACAGCCTCAAGTGGTTTAATTAGCTGTGAATTGACACGTTGCTCTAATGTTGCTCTAATTATTAGTAAGGAAACTGTATGGTGGTAGTGCGTTTGTAGTTTTGTGACAGTGAGCTAATCTTAGTTTATATTGTTTCGAACAGTTTTTTCTTCATTCTAGATACATTTTTAATGACGTTCTGGATGTTTTATCCCTTTGTTGATTAACCTGTAATGAGGGTCCCAAGTGTGAAAGTTAATTCTACTTAGCCTCAGCAGAATTTCACTTACGTTTTTATTATAGAAGGGGAATAATTTTATAATTAGTAGGTGGGGTTTTTATGACACAGCATAATAAAATTTGATTCTCAGTTTTGGCTGTGAATTATTACCTATATGTAGTTTTAATTATGACAATTATCTTCATATTGTGGATTCTGTGAATGAAGTTCATGACTCTTCATCGTTGATCTTAAATAGGCTACTGACTTGATTTGCTTGGTTTTTAGCTGGTTTGAGAGAATTGTGCACTACAGCAGAGACATCGTGACTGAATTTGGAAGGTAGTTTTGCATCCGTGTGCTTAGTTCAGTTAGAAGGTATTATGAGGTATTAAGAAATATATATAAATTTAGGGAACTATGGAACTGATTGCACACTTTCCAGGGAAACAATTGCAAGTGACTGCGGTGGTGTTCTCTCTCACCTCCCCTTGTTCTCTGACCTTGTTGTGGGGGTGTTTTAATGTAGAAAATAGTCTGAGGAATGTTGCTTTGATCTCAGGAAAGATTAGCAAAGTCTTTGCTGTGAAGCAAATTGATTTAAATTAGTTTTCTGAAAAGCGTTTCTGGAAAACATCTTGTCTTTTATGAGCAACACAACTTCTTGATATACTAAGTTTCTGTACTGACATAAGTTGTGTGCTCGTGTTTGAAATACATGAAATGGTCTTCATTGGCTAATAGCAGATCTTTTTTAATAGCTTTGACTGTGGAAGACCTCACTGTTTTGCTCACCGGAAGTTGTTGTAGTTGGCTGAAATTTACTTGGCCTTTCTGAGTGCCTCTGCTGATACACTGCTCGGCTTCTAAATGTAACTCTTTCCTAAGGAAGTTGAGTAGTTTTTAACCTAACTTTAAAATGTACTTTTTACCAAGTATTTTATGAAGTTGTTATCATTGCTTGAAACATTAAATTATGCTGGCTTTAGCTTGATATGTCTTTCATCACTGTTTTCATTTTTGGAAACTCATGAATACAGCACTCAATAGGTGTCATGGCCACTGGTGCTCCTTTACGCTGAAGTTTCAGAGTTGTTCTTTACCCTTGGTGGGGCTTTTGCTCCTTTTCTTGTGACACTTTATAGTGTACTGTGGATGACAAATTTATCTTGCACATGTTTGTATTTTTTTACTTTTTGTTGGGTTTAAACAGTGTACCGAGGAACCAGTTTCATATTGGTTGGTGTCTTGGTTTAGAAGACAGGGGAAA